TAAAAGTATCGGTAATAAGTAAACATTATGCAAGAACACATCTTGCGTCAGCCCCAGGGCATCACCAAATGAGTAACTGGTAAGATGGCCTTAGCCTATAGCGTAAAACCCCTTCGGGCATGGGACTGTACAATCCTTTGGACCTTTAACTCGGTGCACTTAAAGCGACTCAATTTAAAAGTAGAAAAATTGTGTCATTTCCTGAATGTAAAAAAAATACGACACGGGCAGAAAAGGTTATATTTTGTACACAAGCTGTACGTATAAAAAGGCTGTAATTACATTACTGCATTGATGAACCAATGTAAATCCATCATTGCCTAGTTGCTGCCTAGGCTTGTATAGTACTCAAATAATTTATACATAAATGTAGTTTCAGTGTCCGTTGCTGGACATCGAACGGCTCTGGACTGGCTTCCCCCAAAGACCTCCAGATAGCCTTAAATACATATGTATAAGTATAATTAAAAATACACTTAATTCGTTGTCAAATTTTTTATATCATAATTGTACCCATTTAAATAAAACACTTTAACGATTTTAAACGCGATATATTAGTTAAACTTATTTGAAAATGATTTTTAACTTCGGCCCGACGTTTCAATATATCGCGTTTTAAACCGTTAAAGTGTTTTCTTTAAATGTGTACTACTCGCGAAAACTATAGGCAGTATTTCATAATTGTACCGTTAAATTGAATAAAGGTTGATAACGCTTCAATTAATCAAACTATGAACGTGTCCTTACAGACTATATTAGTATGAGTTTATTATATTAATGAAAGTAATTTATGTGTAGAGGAAGTGTGATTTATGAATGAAATAAATCATTTATTGAAGAACGGTACTGGGTCTTTAGTATGCGTTCAACAGTTACGCTCCAATCTAATGGACTTAGTAACAAATAAAGAAGCCTAGTTTACGGGCTCATTGGTGTAATGGTAGCAATGATGGTTAATATCCATGGGTCATGGGTTCGGTCCCCACCGGGTCCAACACTATTCTAATCAATTGATAACTTTTCTCAAACATGTTCGACATCTGGAAATCTGGATGTTAAATGGTTATGAGGAATATGGAAATTCCGCCCTGGTCACAAACCACCGTCCCCATATGAAGCCTTCAAGTTTAATCGCGTTTCGGTTTCAGTCTGAGTAAATATCTAAAGCCCAAATAGGTCGATAGCGCATCTTGTTTATTTGCTATTGACTTGATGGTATTTAACCTATCATCAAGTTTGCCCCATGCTTGTCTCTCCTCCTTTATCATAAAAAGAAACAAACAAAATAAATTTTATTTTTGTACATATCTGCACATTCATATAAATAATTAAGAACTATGGGTGGTATTTAAAACAGTGACACCTGTCGTCTTTATATGTCACGAAACTCAGACAAAATAAAAAAAGGCATAGTGTTGTGGGCATTCTTTTAGATCATTCAAACAGGAATCGTTCTTTCATACATATTTTATGGTTTCTTAAACTGTTATCGTCAAAGTTAAAGACAACTATTGTAACTACCTTCCTTTGGAATATAAATTTATAACTGCTAAGAAGTATCCTTAGCTACACTTTAACTTCAAAAACTATAAACCAACGTGAAAGAAAAAGTAGTGAGTAAAGACCGATGATGCCGGTTCAAGTGATGTCCGAGTCGAAAATTTTTCAATTTATTTTCGATTTTTAAATTAAGTAGTAAGTATTGAATTATTACTTACTATTTTTTGCTAAAGTTTACGTTAAAGTTATTTATTTAAATGTGTACTACTCGCTTAAAATACAGACAGTATTTAGTTAGCTATATACCAAACAAACACACATATTATATGTGTGTTTGTTTGGTATATACTGTAACAATACCTGTACCTGTATGTGTATACAAAAAAACTGTCAACGTTGTATATAAAAACCTTCCTAATTAATAATAATAATGACTATATCACAGAAAAAGCGATTTTGTTTGACTATGTAGTGACAAAAACAAACAAACACACATAAACATATTTCTTTATAATTTAATATCGCAAGAGTCCAGTCTTCAGGTTATAAGCTAGCTAGAGATTAATTAAATACAACAAAAGAGGTTGTATAACACTAGTTTTAATTACATCATACTTTTGTCTGACATTTAACGATGTCTTAGAAAGGTCGGTGCATGGATGTTCTATGTAGTATGGGTTAATGAACTGCGTTCTGTCAATTTTATTTATTCATGAATAATAGAAAATAAAGTTCTGCTTATGATATAAGACGTTGTAGGTACCAAATTCATTCGCCTTGTCGGAAATGGGCATTGGTGGTGGGAGCTTTGGAGTTTTACAAACATGTTCCCAGGGCTCCCTCAAAGCACCGTAGCGAGCTGGTGGTGTCGTGGTTCTGGTCAGCTAATGTCTCCGAGGAGGTTATAGTTACCACACCCATGTCACTGTTCCCCGACGTGGGCGTGCATTAGCCAGCATTCACACCATCAGTTTAAAAAAAGTACCAAAATTCAGACCATTTATTACCTCATTTATACCTCTCAGATCTTAGATTTAGACTACAAATTTAAACATTTTATATTGGACTCATCTTAGTACTATAAATTGTGTAAGGCTTTCACGGCCATCGTCATATCATCGTCTTTCGGGCTGTTCAGCCGAACAGTTATATGCATCTTAGTACTTTTTAAGATTAGTAAAAAAAGATGTATAAAGAGATCCACGTATCCACTTTCTGAATTATTTACCCTAAATAGATACGTAAAATTTAAATAAAACACCTTAACAGTTTAAATCGCGGTGTATATTACTTAAACAATGAGTTTAACTAATATACACATATATAAATTATTTACGGCCCTACGAATGCTTTGCTGCAGCCGTAAGTTTAACTAATATACATCTCGTTTAAAACCATTAAAGTGTTTTATTTAATTGGGTAGGTACCACTCGCGTAAACTACAGACAGTAGGTACGTAAAACTGAAAAGGCAGCAAATTACTTAACCATAAATATATATTTTACGGTTTTTAGTAATATAGAACTTAATAGAGAGGTTTGAATACAGTACGATGAAGCTGAAAGAGAATTCGTTTATAGAATAAAAATAATATTAAATTTTACTCACGACGAAATTGTGTATTGATTTTTTTCACCATCATCTCCAGTTGTTATAGCAAAATGTGTAATATTAAATATTAGAAACAATATTCTCTCTATTTTATTTAATTGACAGTTTCATTCAGCCGAAGAAAAATTCGAAAATCCAAAGCTAAAAGGTCGACATCGCATTTTGTTCAGATGCTAGGGTATTTAACCTACCGTCAAATGAACCCCGTGCTTGTCTGTCCTCTCTATCAAAGCCTCATTCTAAGGGCTAACACATTATTACTACGATACATTTTCACATTCAAACAAAAAAATCTACACTGCCTTGAGAGGGTAAAAAATCCGTCACATTAAAAACTGGTTTTAAATCATGTATGGAAATAAACAAGGTAGTTCCGGTGTCGGGTCGAACTTGGCACCTATTGCATGAGGCCAGTGATGACTTGAAAGCCTTATACTGAAACCTGAAGGTGGTCTAGATTCAGCCATATATAAGTGATACAGTAGTACAATTAATTACAATCTTATTAATACACTTATACACTCAAATACACTTGTCATGTCAATTTTCAAATGTATTTACTTACGATGGTTAAATACGTTAATATTTTTCACGTGACGCCATTTTATAATTTAAAAATGGAATTTAGATTTAAAATTGTATGACAGGGGCTGGACTTATACCGGCATCCACAGCGTACCGTACTGCTACACTAACGAATTGAGATACCGTGTCTTACACTTGATTTTTAACTTAGAATGGTTACTAATCGTTACTACTGAACAAGTTTAGGAACGTGCTGTTTAAAAATAAGACACTATACAAAATATTTTTTATATGTAAAAGATATACAAATTGATTATGATTTAAAATTATCATAAATATATGTTATAATGCATTTTAATTTAATGGATCACCCTTATGTAAGTTAAACAACCAATAATAAAAACAATAATTCATACAACAACAACAAATATTGTCAATAATAGAAATATTATGTGGGATCGCTTACTACCCAATTATAGAGTGATTTTAAAAACATTGCTATCCATTTATTACATAATTTAATAAATAAATTTATCTATACATTATGTACATACATAATTAAATTCAAACACATTTAATGTAAGCAATTAGAAACATCGATTTGTAATAATTAGATTTGCATTAATAAATTGAGCATTTACTTATTACTCGTTATAAAGTGTTTAAAATAGCTTAGTTATAATTAGTTTAATAAAGCGTGGAGTATTTTTTTTAATATACAACTAGAAGGTCAACATGGTTATGGCTTACAACAAAGGTTGAGGTTTTAATAACCTTCAAACCTTGCCCTTTCAAAGGATTCTTGTGGCTACCATACAGAATTATTTATAGCACGTTAAGAACTATTTCTATAGAAGAACGTATTAAGTTTACTTCTATGCAAGTGAATTGCACTATAAGGGAAATAATGAGTTTAGATTTTTCTTTTAAAGTACTTAATTGTTTTTGTAAGATACTTCATTAAAAGTGATCCACTAATTTTACAGTATTTTGTACGTATTTAAAGATTGTCATCATGGCAATTATTATTTTAATTACTTCTCGTAGTTTAAAATAAATACCCACAATAAATCCACCTTGAACGTAACTAAAATCGCAAAAAAATGTCATTTCAATCGTAAAATTATATATGGGAATAAAGTTTAAATTTTTTCATAAGGATAAAATGTCCTATTGTTGTGTTTATCAAAAAATATCATTAATTATCAATCATTGTGATTTTTATTAGGACTTCTTGTTAATTCTTTAGACCTTAACGCTAAGGTCGTTCGAATATTATATAACTGAGGAATTGTTTACAATAAAAACATAACCGATTTAACTATAAGTGTGAGAAGAATTCCCTAATACGGAAATATGTCATCATGTTATTCCTTGCAGTGTTTAGTGTGATAATATGTTTACAAGATACTGTGCTGGCTGGGAACCCGAAGAAGCTGATATCCTATTCGCTAGCAGATAACAGACCCCTGAAAAAAGCTCTGGGATACGACGAGGATGTCTACTTCAATTTTACTGAACTGTCAACAAAATATGGATTCCTCTCCGAAGAACACAGTGTCACGACTGAAGATGGATACATACTAGGCGTATTCCGCATACCGTCAACGTGCAACACCACTAATGGATACCCAGTTATATTAATGCATGGTCTACTGGATAGTTCTGACGCTTGGATAGTAGCTGGTCCCAAAGTCGGTCTAGGGTACATCCTATCAAGCAACTGCTATGACGTTTGGGCAGCGAATGGAAGAGGTACTGCGTACTCAAGGAACCACGTCAAACTAGATCCTAATAAGGATGCGGAATATTGGAACTATTCATTCGATGAAAATGGAAAATATGATCTCCCAGCCATCGTCGATTACGTGATTAATGCAACGGACAAACCTAAAGTGTACTATGTTGGTCATTCCCAAGGCACGACGGACTTTTACGTCATGGGAGCACTTAGGCCAGAGTACAATAAGAAAATCCATTTATCTGTCAGCCTGGCTCCCATAGCGTACATGAAACATATGAAGAGTCTCCTATTATTAATAATCGCGCAGCAGACTGATCTTCTGAAAGATACGTTGGATGAAATCGGATTTGCTGAGATATTCGGTAAACACCAGTTGATACATTCTATTGTTGAAAAAGTCTGTCAGATCGCACCAGAACCGATATGCGGTACTGCATTGAGTATTACGACTGGTTATAAGCATGAAAGTATATCATCCAAGACTCTTTCCGTGGCGTTCGGCCATCTCCTAGCCGGAATTTCGAGCAAAACCTTAGCGCACTTCGGTCAGTTGATAGTATCGCAAAAATTTCAGCGCTATGACGAAGGTAAAGAGGGAAACAAGGTAAGGTACGGTGGGGTCAAACCACCAGAATACAATTTAACTCTCGTGACATCGCCTTTGTTACTTGTGTGCGGTAAAAATGATTGGGTGTCGTCTTTGGAAGACGTAAATGAGCTAAGTGCACGTTTGCCTAATATGGTTGAAGAGTATGTAGTGCCAGATCCTTCTTGGAGTCACAACAATCATTTGTGGGGCGTGAACGCGCCTAAATACGTGTTCAGTAAGATATTGGCTTATTTCAAAGAATATGATTTAAGGTAATGTTGGCGAAATATGTCTATGAAAGTACCAAAAATAGAAATAATAGTATTAAAATGTTATTATTAATAATTCAAGGACAAAATATACATGACAAGTTTGACGTAAACCTACAATGGAGGTTAATTTTTGGCAGTTGAAATGGATGGATCACATATATGCTTAGTTATTACAAATGCTTTCAGGAAATAAAAATTAACCGATCTACCTCAATGCTAAACACTTAGCCTTTAATCGCATTATGTGGGAACGCCAAAGATCATGAACAAATCTTATTATTGTTTTTCTTACTTCAAGGTGGAGGAACAATAATTAAAAATGTACTAGCGGAAAGAGACTCGTTGCAAGGAGATTACGCATTTACTTAATTTGTTTTCTTGAACTTGGACTAGATTGACAATATAATAAAAAGAATTGTCATAAGGTAGTCGTTTTCTAATTTTTATTGACACCCTAAAATTCCTAAAGCATTAGAGATTTAAATACTGTCTATAGTTTACGCGAGTAGTACACATTTAAATAAAACACTTTACGGTTTAACGTGGTCTCCCCGTGACCACGGCTGCTGCAAAGCATCCAAAACGTCGGGCCGAAGTTAAAAATCATTTTCAAATAAGTTTAACCAATATATCGCGTTTTAAACCGTTAAAGTGTTTTTTTAAACATCAGACATTTTTTCTCATTTTAGATTTGGTTATTTTTTATATTAATTTTCAATAAAACAAAACCCTCCATTCGGCGTTACTTCTTTCTATACTTTATATATATGAGTTAAGATTTTTCCTTTATCTTACTTAAAATTTTATACATTTATTTATATTAACTTACTATAGTTAAATAAAAATAAATTTACTAATATTGATTGCCTTTTAAACCGTTATAAGTGTTTTAATTAAATGCATACTACCTGCGTAAACTACCGACAATACTTAGTATACAATAGTTAGACAAGAGTAAGTAAGTACTAGTTTCTAAGTAGTCTAAGTATAAACACAGTATTGTATAACAGCTATGCACTTAGTCTGTGGTTTTATCAAGGTGAATGTAATTAATGTATCAACAATAAGGACATTGCTTGGAATCTATCGTTTTTGTTCAATATTTTCTTTAATTAGTTTTACGTCAAATAACTTATTTTTAAATCAACTGTAAAAACCTTTGTACTTTAAGCACACAGTCATAATATAAATTTAGTCCAAAATGGAATATGGGACAGACAGACATTTCTGTCTCGTATCTCACTTAGTTGAATTGCATGACTTTCTTTTGTGTCTGCGTGGCTTAAACGCGGAATCTAATTAGTTAAACAAAAAGAAATGATTCAGTTCTCCAGTTTTGCGAAATACCAACTATTATAGAACAGATGGCGCTAGCGAAGCAGTTTTTACTTTGACATTAGGGATACCCTCAATTTTCAGTCCCTCTTTGATTTAACTTTTACTAACGCGTTCTATACCGTAAGTATTTTGTTAATTTAAATGTGTACTACTCGCATAAACTACAGACAGTACTTTATTCAAAATCATTACAGTAGAACATTCCTACTTCCGTACACGTATGTAGCTGCTAACTTTTACAATAAAAAAATAAAAAAGTAGTTAAGAAATTGTGTAAGGCTTTCACGGCCATCGTTCAGCATATCATTGTGATTCGGGCTGTTCAGCCGCTCACGCCAGTCAGGAATGTAGTCTTCGTTAATCCATTTATATTGACTGACTCCTAAAAAATGCTAAAAATATATTTATATTAACAAAGCGCAGAGTCATTGCAATTTAATATGTTTCTTCACAAACATCTGTTTAACATTCCGATCATGAACCCTTTGCAGTATTTCCGATAACTGTACTACCTTGTTACTTTTCAAATTTTAAAATACAACTCAAAAAAAAAAAAACAACAACATAACATCGACATGTATTTCACAATGTACATTTTAGTATCGTGAGCTGATGCTTACGTCTTTAAAACACAGCTTGGCTCAGGTCTGCTAGCCACTGCAACATAGAAAAGAGGGTTTGAAGAACTTAAGGAGTCTAACTCGACGCTCGAGTGTGGGTTGGCAGAACCGAATATCGGCAATTTTACTACACATTTAATAGGTGATATTCTTTATGACAGAGATAGAATAAGCATGGATTTCACGTTTCGTTTTGATAAGATGCGCGGTCGATCTATTTTGGCTTTTGCATATTCGGAAATGCACAGCCTGTATCCGAAACGCGAGGAAACTTTACGGCCTTTTCATCTGTGGATGGTGGTTAGGTGACTCGAACGGAATTTCGATTTCCTATCATCCATTTATTATTCAGATTTCTATACAGAATTCAACACGTTTCAGTAAAGCTTATTAGAAACTTGTTGGTCTAGGTGGGAGTCGAACCTATGAAACGTTGACTAGATAGCTACCATTATACCAACTAGCCCGTCAAAAATAATAATGGCACCCATGGTGTTACAGAAACGTGTTGACCCGGGCACAAGCTGTAGATTCATCATAGCATTGAATCAACAAGCCTTCCCAAAGCATATTTGCTAACTTATATGCCACATTACACTAAAAATAATTTTCCTTTACATTTTTGAGGCCAGTAATTCCTTCTTACCAAAGTAATGAGTCAGAAACTTGATCTCAATAGGTTAGAATTACCTGCTACCTTCGTGAATTCCTTCTAGATTACGTGTTTCACATTACACTAAATAAATTATTGATATTATCGGGCTATGTATGTCTAAGAAAAGTGTCGTGTTAGTTTATAGATATCTCGGTGTAAGTACACTGAGACGAGAACCTCTTTTTATTTATATATGTATGTATATGTCATGCAAAGTTCGATTACCGTGTGGATATGTTAGTGCTTTGCGTTGATTTTTAGACAAAAATTCTATAATTATTAACTAGCTGACTTAGTGATTTCAAAATCGAAAATAAATTGAAAACAATTTCGATTGCTCTAACGGAACGCTGACGATGCGGGTTCAAGTCCTGCCCGAGTCGAAATTTCTTTCAATTTATTTTCGATTTTTAAATTACATAGTGCCTTCATGTGCAATAACATGTAAAAAATAATAAAGTTTTTAGCTGGCTTAGATTTATTTTACCATATGAAATGTTTCGACAAAAGTCTGATAACAGTAATAGTGGTTTTTGCGAGTTAGTATCAAAAGATTATTACAAATAACAGGAATCATTCTTTCAAAAATATGCTTTGGAACCCGTTTTTGGAGCACACACAACAGAAACTCTCAAAAATGAATAATGATCCCCGTTTGTTCCTCATTTCCCAGTTTCTTCGCCGCTATTATAGTCATAGTGATATGTTTATACCTTATAACCTTCAGCTACCCCATTTTTCAATTTTGGACAGTAGTTTCTGAGATTAGCACATTCAAACAAACAAACTCTTCAGCATTATAGTTTAAGTATATTTACTTTACGGGATAAGTACACATGGAACAATAAAAACAGTTTAAAACTCAACAATTTTTACATTTAACTTAACTTACGACTTTAATCTCGGATACTTCATAATACTTTACTACTTAATATATAAGGCAATTTTTTTTATTATGAACAACACTAATAAGATTTCTTAAGTTTCGTAATAAGTAATTAAAAACAATCTTACAACATTTTTTATCTGTGTTTATCTGTCGCACGACAATTGACATACATAATATAACCATAGACTATATACTTTATCGCTTCTTAAACTTACATAACTATTAAACATACTTAGATATATGTAGATACATGCTGTCGAAGACAATCAGAACGAAATTCGAAGAAATAACAGTACACAGCAACACATATTGAATCAAATTGGTTCCATACCTTAATAAAATTCTAAATGAGCTTATAATTATGTATTCACTGTGCTATCCCTAATTTTATTCGACATTTAGTATTCGTAGACCATTTTAAATTGTTCACGAAGCTCGCATGTGAATAAATGTATAGTTGAAAAGGTGTTTTAAAATGGAACGGCACTAGCTTGTTGCTCCCGACGGAAATGGCAATCTTTCGTCCTGCGAAGTAAGCGTGCGAATAAATAGTGCAATGGTAAATTACATTGAAAAATTAAATAAAACACAAATGGCGATACGGTAGTATCAATTAAAGAGCATGAATTCGATTTCCGCCTGTATTTATGATCTCATAATCATGTATCAATATAAAATGCTTTATTATTTTTTATGATGGAGTAAGCCCAGCAATATAACATCTAAACAAGATGCGCGACCGACCTGTTTTGGCCTTGGATATTCGGGAATCACTAGACTGAAATCAAAACGCAATTAAACTTGACGGCTTTTTCATGTTGGACTTTTAATAAAGGAAAGAGAAAAATTATATATATAATTTTTCTTTTCTAATCTATATAGATTAGAAAAAGTCCCCTGATCGTTGATTACGAGCCAAGGTAGCAATAGCTACCATTACACCAACAAGCCCGTAAAAAAAACAGGCTCTCATGTAATTTATTAAAGTTTGATAAAACACTTAAACCGAGAATATTATTATTAAATTACACCGATTCTTAACTAACTACGCTCGTGAGTACAAAATCTTTAAATGTATTAAGATTCCCAGAGACGAAGTTCTAAAATATCTGTCTAGTTCATTCTGGAGACTACAATTCTTCTAATGTTTTTTAATAATTATTATGTCTGTCTGTCAATCTCGGCGTATGTTAAACGTCTAAGTTAATTACGGTGAATGAGTTGTAATCGTGACTCATACCGAACGTTCAAGTATTAACAAATAACTGCGAATTCAAAGTTATATAAATTGTCAGGGACTATATTAGCACTATATACAATAATAACAAATTCAAATCGATAACGAAGGTGGACAACAAATAAGCAAGTAATTGACATGTCATCTAATGATAGTTTTTTTTTCATAGATGACATGTCATTTTCCAACTGTTACTCTAGTACTCTAGTTTTCAATCCAACCAGGATGTATTCAGAAATCTACAAATCGTGGATTTGTCATTTAG